GCAATTATGTATTACAAACCACCTGGCACGGGGCATGGCCTGGAGTGGGGGCACAGCCAGTGGTTCTCACATGGGATCAGAGCTGGGACAACGAAAATGCATCTGGAGTAAGGGTGTGAACGTGGGGAGCTGCAGGAGGCATGAGTTTTTCTCCTCTTTTCCAAACTTTCTATAATGTGGCTGTTGTGTTTGTTGCATCAATTTAAATGATAAAGTTCAGGTTTTCCTCGATATCTCGAAACTAGAAGGATCTTCAGTGTCCTTCGAGTCCACCTCCACATTTTTCTGTTCCCCATAAGAACACTTTCCCTGCACCCAGCTAAAAGCAGATGTTGGTGTACAATTTGGAGATTGCTTCTTGTTGTGTTTTTTTATTTTAAGCATCTTCGATTTGTGTAAATAACACATCCTCTCAGAGACTTTTTCACTCTGGTTTTCTTTTTCTCACATCAGGGCTCTGGCCTCGGAAGGGAGAAAAAAAAATAGAGTGTTTCTCTTTCATTCTCTGAAGGAAGTCAGATCATATAATCAAGATTAAACAAAAATGTAAACTTTGCTGGTTACATGGCTGCATTTTATCCTAACATATAGTTGGTTTTGCAGGAAACTTCCCCTTATAGTAACAAGGCAGTATTTCTCCCCACCCTGGCTTTCATTTATATCTCCAAACCTCTCTTAACATCTGCTTAAGACTTCCAAACTGTTTTTTAAAGAAACTCTCCCATTGAGAGATAAGGTTGGAAAACACAACAATGACAGGGAAGGGAGATAAACATAATCAAATAAGTTGGCCCACGGACTTTGGTGTTCAGAGGGCTTTTGATCTGTGGTCCTATTTAATGTTTCCTGGAGAATTCATTAGCTGGAGGAGACCTTGGCCTGTTGGGCACTAGAGGAAGTTGCAGCCCAGAAGTTGAGTGGTTTGCGCAAGGCCGTGGCGTGTGTAGAGGATGTAGGCCTCTGCTGATGGTTTACTCCCAGTGGCGTTCCCCCTACTCATCTGGGTTTTGTCCTGAAATAGCTCTCCAGCCGGCCCTTCCTCTTGTTCTTGTCGTTCCGGAAATGGCACACAGCCTGGCTCTGGGTCCACCCTTCTCACTGCCTTGGAGGCCCCTCCCTAACAGGTGGTGCTGACCAGGCCATGGCCCTGCTGTGTGGTCTGAGCCTCTTGGGGTGGCATTCAGGGCCTTCCTGTCTGGTCCCTGTGACGTCTGCAGCCCCCTCGTCCCTCGCCCCTGAGGTTGAGTCGCTGCCTGACCTCACACACCCTCTGCCACACCTACCATATTCTTTTACCCTCCCCACAAATTCTAGCTTCCCCCTGCCTCTGCCCCCAGCGTTCTCTTCTGCTCCCTCTCCTCCCTCAAGTCCTGCCTCAGTGGACATCGCCACCACCCCCAGTCCCTGGCAGGGTCCTGGACCTCCTCCAGGCCCTTGTAGCCCCCCGGTGCTGTCATCTGAGTTGGTCTTTATCATGCCCTGTTATCCTCGTGTATTCAGCTGTGACAAAGACACTCAGATCTCCACTAGGGCAGGATGTGTGGTTTGCAGTAAGGGTAAGTGAATGAATGATTAAGCAGTGGAGTGAACATTTTGCCTGCTGCCCTCCTGTGCTAGTCCAGTGCATGCAGCTCTGCCCAGGGGTGAAGGGAGTCAACAGGCAGCCTCCTGCCTCCTTCTCCTACATCAGGGGTCTCTGACTCAGCCCTTTTATCCATCCTGTGTTAGTTCCTAAACTGCAGAGAGACTGGTAAAATGGTTAAAAAGACAGGTCTAGGGGTCACACAAACCTGGCTTCAACCGCAGCTCTGCCTTTAGCTAAACCAGCTGTGTAACATTGGGCAGACGACTCAACCTCTCTGAAACTCCATTTCTTCTTCCACATGATGGGAATGGATAACAGTAGGCCTCACCTCACAGGGACACTATGAGGACTGAATGAGGAAACGCATAGCAAATGAATGCACGGTAATTCCATCAATCAGGACATTATTGGTTGCAAGTATCTGAAACCCATCTCAGCCTGGCTTATAAGCAAAAGAGGGTCCCCCTAGCTGAAAAGTCTGTAATCATCTGATTGGCCAGGCCTGGGTCATACCCCAATTTCTAGAGTTGGAGTGAGGTCAACCTACTAGCTGGGGAAAAGCTGGATCTCCCAAGGAAAATTGGGGCATAGTAACCAGAAAAAGAGGGATGGATGCTGGGCAGGCAGAAGCAGCAGGTGCCCGCATGACTAGTGTAGAGGGAGGTGTAGAAAATGGAGGCCTTCGTGATGGCCCAGGACCTGTGGAGGTGGTACTTGGCCAGCTTCTCCAGAGCCTTACCTTTCTTGGGTGAAAGTGACCTCTGACATTCCGCCCCCTTGCATCAGGGGTGGCTTGGCCAAAAGAGCCCACAAAAGGAGTTCCTACCCTGACCCTGACTGACCTTCAGCTTCGGCAGGCCCCTTTCCCTCTGTTGTCCCATTTCCCCATCTGTAAAATGGGCTTGTTGGAGGAGATGATCTCTGAGGTCTGCTCCAGCTCTAACTATAACACAGGCAGCAGCTGGCATTTATCAAGTGCCTGGTGTGAGCCAGGACTTTGCTGGGCATGGGGAAATCAAAGATGAAATGGACAAGCCCCTGTCCTCCAGAACCCAGCTCTGGTATTGCCCTACCCCTTCCTTTCCACGTCTCTGCTTCCCCTTCAGGTGTCCATTATAGAACCAAAAGCTCTTTTTAAAATTTGTTTTATTCATTGAATATAGTTTAAACATCCAAAAGAAGTATGTTGAATGTTTTTTATCTCTGTAAAAACGAATTAAAACCTCCAAATCCTTCAAAACCTTCAAAACATATCCATAATCTGATCCCTTCTCACCACCTTTACTGATACCCCAACCCCCATCTGAGCCACCATCATCTCTGCCCTGGAGTATCCAGTAGCCTTGTCGGAGGCCCCCATTTCCTTGCCCAACCCCCTGCCCAACAGTTCACTGTACACACAGTGGCCTCAGCAGTCCTACCACTTCCCTGCTCTAAACCTTCAATAATGTCTCATCTCATTCAGAGTAAACTGGTTAAAGAAAAAGACAACTATAGGATCATCCCAGCCCAGTCCTCCAACCCCACCCCAGTTCTGATCTCATTTCCTTCCACTCCCCTACTTGTTCACACCGTTCTGGCTACACTGGCTCCCTTTTCGTTTCTCAGCCACACTAGCACATTCCCACCTTTGCACTTGCTGGTTCCCCCTGCCCTGGAATGGTCATCCCCCAAATACCCTCATGGCTCACTCCCTCACCTTCTTCAGGTCTCTGCCCAGAAGCCACGCATCAGAGAGGTCCTCCCTGAAAATCCTAACACCTCTTTGCCCACCTTCCTTGGCTGCATTTTTTTCTGTAATGCATCCCACCAGGCAGAATATGTTTTATTTCTTGACACTGGAATGTCAGCTCTATCAGAGCAGGAACTTTGACTGTCTTGGTGATTGCTGTATTCCCAGTGCCTAGAATGGTGACCAGCACTTTGTAATCACTCACTTAATATTTTTTAAATGAATAAATGACTCAAGTCCCTTAAGCTCCTTTTTCTAATGTGGGACCTTAGCTTTTTTATTCCTTGTATTTTGTCTTCTTTGGGTTAGTCAGTGGCTTCTATCTGGAGAGGGGCCTACCAATTACCCTGCACGATTTTCTCAGTGACTGGGGCTTCCTTCTCCTTGGGCCTGGGGAAGGGATTCATGGCTTGTCTGCCTTGTCATGGCCTCTCCTTCTTCATTTTCTTCTGTCCTAGCTCAGCCTCCACCCCCCGATGTGCCCAGAGCACAGTGCACGCTGTGGCTGGGCGTGGGAGGAGTGGTCTCTCATTCCCTGGAATTGCCATTCTTCTCACTGTGTGCGTTGGGTTGCCTGTGATTTATGAAAATTTGTCATGAAAACTGTACTCAGCTGCTGGTGTGAAGAAGCAGCAGAGACTCGTGCTGTAATCAGTCACCCACCCTGCCACTTTCCAGGCTGCCAGAGCCTCCCAGGCACTGCTCCTGGGGTGTGAGGAGGAAAGGTAGGGTGAAGATGAAGACCCCCACTCAATACTGGGCCACCTGGGTTCATGACCAGTGGCCAGACCCTTTGAAAGGAGACCACCCCAGGATTCCTCAGAGAATAATTTCCTTAGAAGTGAGCCCCCAAGGGTGTAAACTCTAGAAAAGCCCACCTTGCTCCAAAGTAATGCCGTCATTTACTGTGGGTAAGGGGAGGGGAAGCCGCAGAATCCTGGCTTGGATTTGCTTTGGAACCTCAATAATATCATATTAGTAGTGGCCTATTACACACATACTTTGTGCCCAGGTAGTATTCTAGGGACTTCATCCATATTACCTTTTAGTGGTTGTGTAAGTTACATAATGTCCCTATTTTACCAGCAAGGAAACAATCTAGAGAAGTGACAGGGTCTGCCCCATATCACACAGCCAGGAAGTGCAGGAGAGCTGGGATTTCAGGCTGTCTTGATGATCCCAAGAAAATGCACTGTCTGTTGCCTTACCTGCCTTGCTTTTGAACAAACGTGCATGGAGAAAGGCAGCCAAATATCTTCCCTTCTCCTCTAAGAATCCAGGCCCCCTGTTGCCTTTGGAGGGACTCAGCAGCCCACAGGTGGCCCTTGGAGGTCGTTCTAGATTTGGAGGGATTTGATGGGGATGAAGAGGTCATTTGATCCCCAGCTAGCTGTTGTGACAGGCTCACTGGTGCTGGCCCCTCTGAGTGAAACAGCTCGAATGCTTCACCACACACACAGAGTCTCAGTTTGCTCCTCTGTGAAATGGGTATAGTGACTTTGCTTTGGCAAAGCTATTGGGGGTGGTCTCCGTTTGGTCTCCGCTGGAACATTCTCAAGTTGATCAATTACCGGTCTAATTAATAATTAAGATGGAATTTTAAATGAAATGGTTATTAAAGGACGAATCAGGACCTGCAGAGTTCCAAGGTGACTTAATCCTCCTGCCTGTCTTTTCCTGCAGACTCCAGCCCGCCAGCGCGCCTCCTGGCCACCCGGCCGTGCTGCGGCCCCGGCCCCGAGCGCCGCCCGGTCCTGGGCGAGGCGCTGCGCTTCCACGCGCAGGCCAAGGGCAAGAACGTGCGGCTGGACGGCCACTCGCGCCGGGCCACGCGGCGCAACAGCTTCTGCAACGGCGTCACGTTCACGCAGCGGCCCATCCGGCTGTACGAGCAGGTGCGGCTGCGCCTGGTGGCCGTGCGCCCCGGCTGGAGCGGCGCACTGCGCTTCGGCTTCACGGCGCACGACCCATCGCTCATGAGCGCCCACGACATCCCCAAGTACGCCTGCCCTGATCTGGTCACGCGGCCTGGCTACTGGGCCAAGGCGCTGCCCGAGAACCTGGCGCTGCGCGACACCGTGCTGGCCTACTGGGCCGACCGCCACGGCCGCGTCTTCTACAGCGTCAACGACGGCGAGCCCGTGCTCTTCCACTGCGGCGTGGCCGTGGGCGGCCCGCTCTGGGCGCTCATCGACGTCTACGGCATCACCGACGAGGTGCAGCTCCTCGGTAGGTCGCGGGCCCGGCTGGAAGGGGGGTGGGCGGCCCGGCGCCCCCTGGGGAGCAGGCAGAGGTTCCTCTGGGCATGATGTGTTTCTTTAATATTCACAATCACTTAGGGAGGGCTCACTTTGCTAGGCGTCGTGCCAAGCGCTTTGTGCATCTTAACATGTATTTCTCACGACCACCAGCCATCCAGCTGTACAGATGAGAAAACAGGCACGGAGAGGTTAAATCACTTGTCTTGTGTAAGTAGGGTCGGAACCACCCAGTGGGGTCCAGAGTCCATGCTCTGGCCCAGCCAGGTTCATCCACTTACTCTGAGTTACTTGTATGCTCACTCATTCGTTAATCTATTCCTCCGTTCATTCTTTCACTCCCTTTTTATTTGCTGGCTCCCTCATTCATATATGCTCTCATTCCCACGTGTATTCATTCATTCGCTCATTCATTCATTTACTCATGCATCCCTTTGCTTACTCATCCATTCATTTAATCACTGAACAGTCATACTTATGACCTGATCACGTGTACCCGTCGGCTACCCACACTGCACAGGCAGTGAACAAGCAGGTGTATCAGCCCCAGGCCCAGGCCGCTGTTAAGGGGCTCCAGGTACCTTGAGGAGGCAGACCAGTGTGAGCTGCTCTCACAGAGGAGGCAGCCGTTCATGCTGAAATACTGAGGGTGAGAAATCTTGGGGGGAAAAGTTCACTATCCCTATCTTGAAAGGTAAAATTCATATAAGGGTACAAGAGTAATCATGTTAACATGCACAATTCAGTTGTCTTCAGTTGGCAACCATCACCTCTATCTAATCCCCACACATTTCATCACTCCAAAGGGAAACCTGTACCCATTAAGCAGCCACTCTCTATTCTTCCCTCAACACTCCTTCCCCCCCCCCCCAAAGCACATACACCATCCCTGGTAGCCACTAATCTGCTTTCTCTTTGAGACCTTAGCTCTTAAACCTACAGATTGCACCTGAACCAACCCAGCCTTGATTTTTGGGGGGCTACAGGGAGAGCAGGTTTCTCAAGAGGTCCAGACAGAGACCTATGTGTAATTTACCTGCAGTGACATGCACAGATCTGAAGGTTGGTGGGTTTTGACAGATTTATACACCTGTCCATCCCCCCAGAAAGTTCCCGCTTGCACCTGCCAAGTCAATCTCACTCTTGCCCAGAGGTAGCCACTGCTCTGATCTTTCACTATACATTAGTTTTACCTGTTATAACGTGATGTAAATGGAATCATATAGTATATGTGCATTCGTGTGTGGCTTCTTTATCTCAGCATGTTTTTGAGATTCATCCATGTTGTTGCTGTGTTTATCAGTAGTTCCTTTTTATTGCTGACAATCATGGCATTCCATTGATATGAATTACCATAGTTTATATATTTGAATGTTTGGGCTTTTTCTGGTTTTTAGCCCTGCATCTTAAAGGAAAACCCTGGCGTGGGCTCCTTGCTTCCCTGCCCAGTCCCCAATCACCACCACCGCCATTGGGCAAGAAGGGAGGATTCATGCATCTGATCTCTACCCTCCCACCAAAAGTAGGAAGGCAGCAGAACTTCTGAGTGGTCAAGCACAGGGGCTTGGGTTGCACGGACCTCTGTTCTAGACCTGGCTCTCCACTTGCCAGCTGTGTGGGCTTGGTCAGGTGACTGAACCTCTCTGTGCCTCAGTTTTTTCATCTGTAAAATGGTTTCACGATAGCACCCACCTCATGGGATTGTTGGTGGGGATACATGAAATGACGTATAAAAGAGATGCAGCACAGTGCCTGGCACATAGAAGGCACTCAAGAAATATAGCTAAGAAATAAGAATCTCTGTCCGTTTGCAAGTGGGCCAGAGCATCCAAATTCCAGGCTTAGGCAGACCAGATTGTGATTAGCACCCACCCTCCAAGCTGTGGCATTTTAACCATGTCCCCACCCCCACCTCCCTGCCCAATGCTTTTTTCCATGAAAGGTTTTGGTATTTCACCTCCAGAAATCATAGGTTTCTAAAACCTCTAGATTTCCCGTCACTCTTTTTGGAGCAGTTTATTCCTCTGGAGCAGGGAAGCAATCATGCCTCATTCACCTGCTCATTCACAGACCATGTCTCCAAGTAACAGACAGGAAATCACAGCCACTCCATAATCAGCACAAGTGGATTAGGATTTTTTAAAAATACAACTTGGAAGCAGCCTTTGATGACTTAATGAGACTGTGTAAACCTGTGAGGAAAGATGGACTCTTCTCCCCCAATTCATTTGCTTACTCAGCAAACCTTTACTGAACCCCTACAACGTTCAGGAAAGGGAGAGGCAGGGTCTGTAGGAATGTCAGTGTAACAGCAAACATGAGCTTCAGTTTCCTTATTTGCAAGACATCCCTGAGATACACTAATTGATGGGAAGTGCCTGGCACAGGTGCCACAGGACAATGTTGACAAAAATATATAAAAGTGGGAAATGAGATCAGAAGGAATTGCAGCTCTGGAATGGGATCATGGGTGAATTTCACTTTATGTTTCTATGAGTTACCCTTTTAAAAAAATATATGTAAACAGCTTGTAATAGTTTTACAATCAGAAAGAGCAATAAAGTTGTTTTCCTTTCTGAAGGTTATATGAGATAATGGAGGAGAAGTTTCTGGCACAAGGTTGAGGCTCAATAAATATTTGTTTCCTTCCCAGGGGGAAAGCAAGTTGACATTGGTAAAGGGATAATGGGTGATTTTTATTTCTTTTTTTCCTCCACAAGTTAACAATAATTTATAATCAGGAAAAAAAGGTATAATAAAAAGAAGAAACCTGAGCAGTCATGATTCTGTATGGTTTAAGTACAGGCAACAAGCACCCTACTGGTGCCAGCACAGGGTGAGGCAATGTGAGAGCCTCAAAAATTCCACCAGAAATCTCCCAATTCCTGGGAGAATTTGGCTTCCCAAGAACAGTGTCTAAGGTACCAAATAGATACATAAAAGGTAGCCAGTGTCTATATTATCCTGAGCACTCTGGACTGCTTTCCATCACAAGGAACAAGGAAGTGACATGATTCCTTTAGAGATTCTTAGCTGTGAAATTCCAGAATTGAACATGTCTAGAACCCCTTCCTCAGCAAAATCCAATCCCAATGGATAAAACTTGAAAACCAGCAAACAAAAGTGGCATCTGGGTAGGGTCACCAAATTTAGCAAATAAAAATACAGAACACGCAGATACATTTGAATTTTAGATAATGAAAATCTTTTAGTATAAGTATGTGTCGTGCGATATTTAGGACATACTTATGGGGAAAAATTTTTGTTTATCTGAAGTTCAAATGTAACTGGGCATCCCTTACATTATCTGGCAACCCTAGTCTGGGAAGCATCCTCCCCATTTTGTGGGGCTAGGGTGTACTTCATTTGTCCTGGAACTTAAGCCAAAATGTGAGAAATAAAAAGGGGATCATGGTGAATTGTGTGCGCAGCCCAGTACCCTCATGCACGGGGGACCAGCTGCAGCAAAGAACAGTGCATCTAAGGGGCCAGGCCCTGGGGTGCCCTTTTTAGATAAAGAACCAGGGTTCAGAGAAGAAAGGTGACCAGCCTAAAACTGCCAAGCTTGTAAGTGGCAGAGCAGGGGTAGAAGCCAGGTGCATTCACATTTAGTTCAGTGGTTCTCCAGCCGTGGCTGCACATTGTGATTGCTTGGGGAGCTCTGAAAATCCTTCTACCTAGGCTACACCCAGGCCAATTAAATCAGATCTCTGGGGATGGTTCCCAGGCATCGAGGTTTCTTAAGGCTTCTCAGAGACCCCAGGGTGCAGCCAGGGTTGTCATCACAGTGATCCCTTTTGCATGGGTGCATGCTCCCCCTCCCCTTCTCTCTCCCTACCTGCTTGGGAAGGTTGAGTACTAAGTTGAGTTCTTCAGACTCCTTGGTTCAGGGCATGGTATCAATCTCGGACCACACAAGCCCCATCTCTTTCTTTCTTTGACTTTTTTGCTTTATCCCCAATCCCCACTTCCTATTAATGCTGTTTTCTGCCCACATAGGCACCACTGTGATGTTTAGCATAAGTCCACGAGAGTTGTTTTATGTGCATGTATGGGTGGTATCATGCTAAAGATTTACGCTTTTTTTCTTTTTCCACACACCCTTTTTAAGGATCTATCTGTGCTGTTGTCTGGTTCCTTGTTCCCTAGTGTCCTCCCCTGTTGATGGACACCTGAATTACTGCCAGCCCCCCATGTACACAGACACAAATTACTTTCTGCTGACTTTAGCAGTTCCTGGACCCAGGAGAGGAAGGTTCTGCCAGGTCAGGCATGCCTTTTGCCTCCTCTCTGGCTCCAGGAAGTTTTATCTCCTTCTCCAACGTAGCCCTTTCCAGAGGCTCTTGAGTTCAGGCCCCATGCTGTCCTGATGCAGCCCTGTCCCTCTTCCCAAGCGGCTTGGGAATGGTCATGTCCTCGCCGTCTTTCCTCTGTCCAGTGATGGAATGCTGGTCAGATTGAACAAGTAATGCCAGCCCAAGGCCATGGCATTGCAGACTATATTCTTGGAAATCTTTGGTTGCAAGAGACAAAAACCCATTTCAATCTTGCCTAAACAAACAAAAAAGAACACGAAAAAGGAATTAATGTCTCATGTAACTGACAATTCCAGGGAATGGCTGCCTTTGAGCTTGGCTTGAGGCAAGGACCCAAAGAACAGCACCTGGGATGTTTGTCTGCCTTCGGTTCTTGCTATGCTGTGTTTTTTGTTGGCTTCATCCTCAGCCAGGCTCTCCCTTTGGGGCAGAGGGAGGGCCACCAGCAGCTCCAGCCCCATGTCCCACCAGCTTAGTGAATCCAGCAGAGAGAGAGCCGCTTTCCCAAAAGATCTATAAAGTCTCAAGACTTAGCCTCATTGGTCCAGCATGGGTCACACTTTGTCTCTGAACCCATCTCCATGGCCAGAGGGAAGGCATAAAGTGATTGACCAGGTTAAAGCTCCCCACTCAAGGCAGTTCCCCCAAAAGAAAA